GATTTATTCTTCAACTGATCCGGGATTTCAAACTTCATATGCTTTTCATTTCTCATGAGATTATCAAAACGGATGACATTCTTAGGCAGAGGTCTTATGTCTAAATAGTCTAACTCTAATGGATAGCCATAAACGCACAGACAGTTTGATATATCATAGAAGTTATACTTCTTCAACATTTGACAACCTTTAGAAACTATGTATTCATTCAATACATTCCAGGCCTCGATGTCCCGTTCCTTTTCAAACTCATCCCTAAATAGTTTCCATTCATTTCTATCTCCATAAGCGGACAGTCCTATCAGACAAACAAAAAATATATAATAAAATAAATAAAACATTATTTCATGGCTACTGTACCCGAATGATATGGTGGTGCCCTGTCGTCATCCAATATCTCCAAAGGGTTACCACATCTCACAGTAATAAAAGGTATGCCAGACATGACTACTGAAGTTAGTGTGGCATAACTGTCCACTATAATAACATCCGGTTTCACACCCGACAATAACTCAGCCAACAATTTGTCTAATTTGATGGTATGTCGGATATACCCCATTTGCATCCCTTCCCCATTCAATGCCTTTTGCAATGGACACAAATCTCCAAATAAACCATTTTCTATCATAATGTTTGCGAAATACAGGGCCGGATCACCAGTTATATCAGGCTTGTCCTCATCGGTGATGAATATATCTTTAATACCGGTTTCTATGAGTTTTTCTCTCCACTGTTGGCTTATGGCGAATACGACCCGATGTCCGGCGCCGATGAGCACCTGTGCCAACACAATGAAGGTGTTTACATGTGAGGGCAGACCCATCGGTATGAATAGTGTGGTCCGCACGTGTTGTTTGAATGAGTAGTGATTATCGAAATAATTGATATTTGATATAAATATCCCCGCTATGTTTGCCATGTTATTAATATTTAAGATAATTTTAGTTGTTTTGGAAATACATGTTTATTATAACAGAAGTACTATAATATTACTATCGGTAATAGAAAAATATTTTTACTTATAACTACAAATTTTTAATTATATTTGTATATAATTTAAAAAATAAAATGATTTGATTTGGAACATTTTAACATTATTTGAAATACATGTATTTAGTTTTTCATGTCAATTCTAATCAGGGTGAAAATAAAAGTTCAATTATAAGAATAAAGAGTAGTGGTGACTGTCAAATTAATTGTTCTGGTTCATGTTCATAGTTTGTCATCGCTAATTCTTGAATATGTCCAGTAGGCATTGCTGTAACATGTATCAATATGAAATCAGTATCATTATGAATGATAATCAAATGTACATACATATTGTTTCTCATAAACCGCTGTATCTGTTGCGTTGTCTATACGTTTTTGCTCATCCATTAAATCTTTATTATCGACAAACACTTTGGCCAAACAATTGAGAAACTCTTTATCGCAATACAAAAACAATGCTCCCTTGCGCATCATAACTGTTTGATCCACTTTGGTGTAGGCGCTCACATCAGCATTTTTTGCGCAATCAGTTTGTTTGATTGAAAGCTATAAATGTAAAAGTAACATGCTTGAATGGTAATAAAAATTTGACCTGGATAATAACAAAGTTTAAGTTATAAATAATTTGACAAACTTTTTTATCAAACGCTATCTCTTCAGCCGTTTGATTGTGTTTCGGCGCGCATTCAATCACTTTATCCACAATCGCTGTGTCTGTCTTATTGGGGACACACAGTAGTGATTGTATTTTCTCAAACTTTTCCATGGTACTTTCAGCCACACAATTAAGCCAGTAATTGTTGGCGACTATAAACATGAACGATAATACTATTAAAATGTGTCTCATTTTAAATAAATTTAATTATAACGATGTTTAACTTTTATTAAAAGTATAAATTATATTAAATTATAAAAATGCACAATTTAATATGGTTGGCGAAATAAAATTATTTTGTATTTATGTATTATGTATTATTTAATTGCATTTATAAGTGAATTGTATGGACTATTTTAGCATTACTAATTAGATATCTTTAAAACTGAAATTTCTGATTACAATATAAATGTATTGAGTAAATAGTTGAGCAAATAAACTAGTTTATTTATTGATTACATGATTGTTACCAAATCAATTGGTAAGCCATTACATCATTGTATTATAATTTAATAGTAATATTTTATTGGATCAGGTTTAAATAATTAAACACAATATTAAATACTAATCAGTGAATTATATTATATAAAATAAATTAAATAAATCAAAACAAAAAATAAATTATAGTTTTTAATTTTAATTTGTCTAGATCCGTATTTTAAAAATTTATATAGACGTAATTTATAAAAATTATAAATAAATTACTAGATTAATTGAAACTGTTTAGTAGCATGCTCTCATTTTAACAAATCGATATTGATAATTTAGCTAGTATATAAATAATCTACATGTATTTATAATAATTTAGAGTAAATAAAATTGACCGAATGGGTATCGGGTATATTTATTATTAATTTTTCTAATAACTGATAATTGCGTAAAAATGAACATTTTTGACAAATATGACCTCGTATTCTCATTATAATGTAAAGCATTAAATAGTCACTGGTCATAAAATATTCACTAACTTGACTAGTTGGTACCATAAATAATGAATCATTATAAATAAAATATAAATTTACCCATCATGTCTAACTAATAGGTAACTAATAAGTAAATTCATTTAATATTTGAAACTATTTAATCTATAAAAGGCGTAATTAATACCAAGGTATTTATACTGTTATGTTTACAAAAAATTTGCTTGTGTTTAATTATTATTATTTTAAATAACAAATACATCAATTAATTGGTTAATATTTTGTTATGAACCCATATATTTATACATACTTGTGAAGTACAAGTGTTAGAATTTTATATATTATAAAGTTTATAAATTAATTTGAATATAAAATTATGTAATTTATATTACAATGAGTGCTATTTGTGTTCAACAAGTATTGGTAATAATTACTAACATTATTAATGGTGATCAAGTTAATTGTGATAATGATTTGTTCAGGATAAGTAAAAAATCATTGGAATTTATTGACAATTTGGTTAACAAATTTAATAAAATAGACAATACTAATAAAAATCAAGAATATTCTGAATATTCTCGTGATGTTGATTATTATGATAAAAGTGACACAGAATA